TTGTCTAAATTGTTTTCTAAATTATTGTAGCAACTGGATTTTTTTTTTTTTTCCTCTCTCTCTCAACATAATAGGAAACTTGAATGTTGACGACTCTAGTGGTTTCCACTTCTGTTTAATTCAGGTCAGGATTTATGGAGACCTCATGTGGTGACAAAAAGCACCACAGAAGGCTTTCCTCAGGATGGGTATAGCACAGTCAAAGAGAAATTCAAATCTCATTTGGGAGCAACATAATCCAGGAAAATGGAGACCTAGAAGTTAATGGCATTGAAGCATGCAAGGCCTCCAAGAAACATCCTACAGCAATACTGAAGGAATACTATAATAAGAGCCTTAAAAATGAGAAACCTGGTCACTCATGTCTACATTTCCTTCTAGTAGCTGAAACACAGATAACGCAAAGAAATTAATGTGCCATGTTGCTAAGGAATGCGTTGCAGTCTTCCTTTTCCTCTTCATGAAATCCACCGGACAGATCTTCTTTTCTTAAAATTTTTTTTAACATTTATTTATTTTTGAAACACAGAGAATGAGCAGGGGAGGGGCAGAAAGAGAGGGAGACACAGACTCCAAAACAGGCTTCAGGCTCTGAGCTGTCAGCACAGAGCCCTATGCAGGGCTACAACTCACAAACCATGAGATCACCACCTGAGCCGAAGTCGGATGCTTAACCGACTGAGCCAGCCAGGCGCCTCTGGACATATCTTCTTATTTAAATTTTCATCAAATTTTAAAACCTGTTCCAATAGGCGTGTTGCTACAAATGTTATTTTCAGTTCTTTTCTCGGTTTTACACAGAATGGAAAGTGAGCCAGACAAAGAATCAAACTTGAACTCATGTTTATGACTTTCATTGGTGCAACATTATAAACAGCATTATTTGCAAATATTGCAGTGCAAGATATGTTTTTGCAATGAAAATACAGAACTATGATTCTACGTGGTGGATAAAGTTGAACATAAGTACTCTCCTCTTATTGCTGACAAGGTATCGGAGTTAGGATACTGAATGAATTAGTGTGGTAGTAAACATATTTCAACATATAATTTGCTAGTACAGACTAAAGAAAATTCACTGGGGTTGGGGTACGATGGTGGAAGAATCCTTGGTCATTCATAGGCACTTATTATTTAACTCATTATAAGAGTTAATTTATAATATAAATATATAATTTAAGTCATTATAATTTTCTTACAAGAAAATGTGACTATGCCTTCCAGTCTCAACTTCTTAAAGAAGTTACATAACAGACCTTGAGGCTACAATCTAGAAGGACAAATGAGTTAATAAATGTTCAATGTTTTCAAGTCTTTAAAAGAACAGAGCAACATAAATCTATGGCATTAAAATGAGTTCCAATTTGGTTATCTAATGGGTCCCCTGTCTTTGAAAACGTCCTCAGAATAGCTTTAAGATTTCCAGAGCAGACAAAATGAAAAGGTAGAGATAGCCTTATTAAAGACATTTGGGAAAACTTAAGTAGGGAAAAAGTTAATAGGGATATTGGTGAAATTTTAGATTGAGTACGTTCTTATGTGTAAAAAAAAAATGGGTCAATTTTCAGAGCACTCACTATGTGTTTGGCATATTGTTAGATGCTGGAAATACAAAAATGAATTAGATTCCCTTGCTTTCAAGGGGATGACAGATAATGACACAAATAATTATCACTCAATGAGACCGGCATTAGGCTGAGGGCTTGCACTACTACTTCCTGTGAATGCCTTGTAAGGTGATATGGGAAGTGAGGTGCTTTACAATCAAGCAAAGGAGTTGACTCTTAGTTACTATTTCAACCCAATAATGACATTGGTTTTTGCTGGGAGAGGAGTGGGGAGCAGGAGGGTGGTAGCAGTTGCCAGACACACATCACACTAAAGAGACAAGAAGAAAGAAGGAAATTCTCTTTCACAGTGGGGGGAAAAAAATCCAGATTTTCCCCTAAATAAAAAAAACCTTCTGGTTACAATGTGCGTTGCTAGGGATTTATTTTACCCTCCTAAGAGAGTAAAATCACACGGATACATTCAAGCCCTTAGGGTTTTGTGAGCATACTGTAAATCTAAGACGTCAACCGAGATTGGTGTGAAGTGTGTGACTATAAAGAAAGGGTTAAACGGAAGGGGGTGGCTCAGAGATGGGAAGGCTGGCGAGAAGGCTGGAAAACTTGCAAAAACTCTGAACTTTTAAGCTCCCAAAAATACACATGTGTGTGTCTGTGAGCGCGGGCAGATCTATTTCGGTAGAATTTTTTTTTTTT